GGAAGGGGGCGGGGAGGGGGAAAGCCGCGCTTTGCACCCCGGCCACCTGCGTGCCTGGCTTCGGGCCAGCCACAGCCCCGCTTGGTGGCGCTACGGCAGTGGCTGCACGCGAGGCCGGGCGCGGGTTGATGCAGAGCGCGCTCAGTCGCGCTCTGAAACCCCCCCGAGCGGAGCTGCTCTACGTAGACAGCTCCAGGACTCTCCATGGGTGCCGGGAGCTGCACAGGAGCCTTGTCCCGCAGGAAGGGGTGCTTCAGAAGCAACCGAGCCCCCACACTTGTGCATTGCACTCTAAGTTTTCCTATCTGAGTTTTAAGGTTTTTCACCCCACCGTGGTTCACCTGGTTGGTGTGATGCTAAGAGGCTGCAGTTTGACTTGGCTTTGAGATTTCAAATAATGGCAACTGAGGTGGGTGTTTGCAAACATACCACCGTGCGTGGGTGGGCCTGCCAAAGCAGAGCTGGCCAGCTCTGAATAGACACGGAAAGCGCTTTGTGCAGCAACCCAAGGAGGAATGGTTCACACAGCAACACTCACCTGAAAGGTGATAATGCTGACCTAACTCCTGCCCACCCAGAACAGCTGAGCCCTGTCTGCGCTCCAGCACCATGGTACCAGAGGAGCTGTTGTAGAGCTCCCGGGAATGCCCCACACCCTTCTCACACGCCTCATTTGCAGTGGTTTAGATAGAGTAACCACAGTCCTTCCCTGCAGCAGCTACAGAGGAAGGGTGCCAAGCCTGTTATTTCCTTTCTCTGCTGCCAAGCTAATTCTGCCTCTGCTCTGTAAATGAGAGCGCACCTGTAATCACATCCATGGAGCTCAATCAGGGGAATCCGTAAAGAGGAGTGATTTACAGAAAGCTTTGGGAGGGTGGGGGCCTGCAACTCCTCAGTGATGCAAGGATTTGAATGGTTCCTGGATACCAAGGGTAATTAGGTACATCTGCCACTTCACCGGAATGGCAAAAACTCCAATCCTCAGGCAGGAACTGTGAAGTTCTGTATGGCAGAGCAAGAGAAAATATAGCTCTTAGGGCAGTGGTGCAGAGCCCGCGTGCACATGATGCAGGCAGGGCCTAGGACTGTGTTGCTGAAGTACAGCTTTGTAAACATAACAGACTTGGCACAGGAGGGCATCTCTCTCTGATTTCTGCATTGTTCCACTGAAGCCCTGGCTGGTTACAGTTAACAGACAGTGGCACTTGAAATTCTGGTAGTTGCCTGGCCTCTTACCACCTCCCCAGGCAGGAAAGGCTTAAAGAAAGCAGCAGTGATGACAAGACTCTAGGAGCCTTTAACCAGGGAGGCTCCCTGAGTTGACAGTGCAGGTCACACACGGGCAGGCCAAGAGTGGACCACCATTCCCAAGAGATGTTTGCCACCTAGTGGCTTTGTGAGACCAACTCTGGCCTGAGGCTCTCCTTCTGCCTTCTCCCCATTCTGCACCCTGCAGCATGGGGCTACCAAGACCACAGTGAAATTCTGTATGTTTCAGCCTGGTTAAAATAAGACCAAGGCAGAAAGTGTTAGCATTAGCAGAGGTGGATACAGCTCTGACATGTAGGAAGGAGCACAGTAGAGATGTGCTTTGCATGTCTACCAAATCAGGTAATCTAATAAAGTGTGTGTAAAGGTTATAGCTGACCTGTCTTGTGGACTGGCAGAGATTGGCCACAGGTCTAGTGAGGGCAAGGACAAGAATGAACACCAGTGTTTTATTTCAGGGCATGTTAGCATAAAGAAAACAGCACTACAAATACAACTCTTGTAAGCCTTTGCTTCTACCCTTTGGATCTTTGCTGAAGGCCATCTTTATGTAGCAGGGGTGAAACGACATCCCTTCCTTGGGCTCAGATACTACCATTTTTTTTTTTATTCCCATCTGCTTTACACACTCCAGACAAAGCACAGATACTGTTTGGCCTCTTCCCTTCAGAGCATATGGTACCAGAAGAAATAAATGGTCATCTTTGTTTTCTCCCTTGCAAGCCTTACACATGGCAGGCTTCAAGAACAGCTGCTCATTGGCCTAGCAAATCAGCAAAATAAAACAGCAGGCTGCTAAAGTGATGGGGCTACTCTCTTCCTCAGAGGACATTTCAGGCCCTTTACAGTATATTATTTCAGCAGAAACTCAGGCTATGGCAGAGAAGCAATTCTTTCATCCAGGGCATAATGCAAAGGTGGGAAGTAGAAGAAAGGAGAGGTTTATTTCTGAGCCTAACTTGGTCCTGCATTACAGGAGGCAGAGTTTTCTGTCAGCGTGAAGCAAAGATGCCGTGGAACCCATAAGGCATTTGCACTGGGACTTCTGCTCGCCCCAGTTCTCTAAAGGTCTCTGCATCCAAAATGAGCAGGAAGGTGCTTCGGTTCTGCAGGATGAAAACACAGTCAGAATTAATGGCTAGGCCATATTTCATTCCACTGTCCAACACACTACATTTGGCCCATTTAAGGGAGCCCAAACATAAAACCCGTCCATAACACCAAAGACAGACCTTACACACTGAGACTTCTAGCTGGGAGCACAACTAGTCACATGTGTCACCCAAAAAATACTGATGCTCCAAAGTATAGTCCTATTTGAGGTTTGCCTGGCTCTGCTTGACAGTGGCAGAAGTACAGACCTTGGGAAGCATGATGCGTGAATGCTGGATGGCAGAGCGCCTTAAATCCAGTTCTGTGGTTTAGCAAACATACCTAATACTGTGTGGCTTTGATGAACTAGTAGAAATGTTACCTCAGTCGGGGAGACCACAACGGACAAGATGATCCCGCTGTCTTCTGCCATGGCATTAGGCACTGGCACAAACACAGGCTCTGATGGGTAGGATCCATCCTCTTGCCAAATCTAGCGTAATAACACAGAGATGTTCATATTTGGCTACTAGAGTTAGTAGAGGTCCAAACTGGAGTCCTCCCTGCAAAGCTACCCAGGCATGCAGGGCAGCTGTGCTCCCCAAGAAATCTGTAATTGTCCTGATGAATTATTAGCTTGATTACAGTAATATGCCAACTGCAGTATTGTAACAGCATGCCCTTGTGCCAGGCATGTGCAAACAGGCAGTGAAAGGGCTCCTGCTGCTCACTTCATCCAACAATTTGTGCCAGCATAGGTATCAGCTACAAGCTCAGGGGAAAAAAATAATCCACCCTGAGCAGCACACCTTTATACCATGCTAGGGTAGACCAAGCTGTGCCCTGACAATGTAGAGGCAGAGGTGCCATGCGAGCAGAGAAGAGATCTATGGGCACCACCTGAGGGCATTGCTGCTGCTCTTACTGCAGACAGCTGTGGCACCAACCTCTGCGACAAAGGAGGGCTGTCTTACTGCAAAGCATGTACCCATTATCAGAACCCTTAAAACAAGAGTGTCTTTCTGATGAATATTAACTCTTCCTGGGTTCTGGAAAAGTCTCTGCACGACAGATCTTAGAGGGCAGTTCAATGGAATAACTTCCAGTACTCAAAAAATAGATAGTCCGACTTCATCTCACCTTGAATGTCTTGGTCTCAACATCAACTTTCAGTAAGGAATCTCCAACCAAATTCCGAAAGCCGCATCCATAGAAGAAACGATATTTCCTGCCATTGTACTGTGTGTAGTTAATCTGGGGGAACTCCAAGCCCCCAACATTTTCAAAGCCCTCTGGGTGGAGATTTTCATGTATGCACCTGACCTAGAGGAAGCAGGCATTATAGGACAGTCAGTTTAACTTTTACTTGGCAGAGGAGCTGACCAGTTTTTCTAACGCTCCACACAGCCACTGTGGAGGTGAGATGCTCGAGGCTGAGCCTGGCTATACCCTGAGGTAGCTTAAAGGGGCAGTTCTGTCTCCCGTGCTATTTCACTCAGAGAACTTCTCAGAATTCTGGAAACTTAAAGGTTTGGTTTAAGGGGAAGAGGTGAAACTATTTACCAGCAACTGAGGTTAAAACTACTCACTGAGATTACTCCAACAATAGCGGCTAGAACATGCCTGAGACAGCACATGTTTTATACCCTCCACAGCCACACCATAGGTCTGTCAAGAGTCAGAAGCATTCTGCACCCAGGTGAAAATATGGACAATTTTGCAAATGAAAAAGCTGAAATCTGGCCAATTATGGCAAAGCTTAATAGCCCACTTGGGCCTTTTTGATAATTCACTGTCAGTCCTTGCTTTCTCATCTAAGGGAATGGGGTATGCTTTGTAGTATGTCACTAATTCCCATCTAAGCGATGACCAAACTTTGCTTTCATGGTGAACAAGGTCTGAAGAGATAGCAGCACAGGATGAAGCTGCTACAAGAGATCTCACCACAGCCATAAATGCAGTCATAAGGCTTTAATATACACACCTTACCATCTGCATCTTTCACAGCTCTTGCTGATGTGTAAGACAGAGGGTTCAAATTTTTTCCTACAGGTGTATCTGAATTCACATGCAGCGGGAGAACAAAGCGGCGAGGGAAAGCTCGTGGTATTGAGTTATAAACCTGTCAGAGACACAAAGTTAAGGGAATGGAGAAAAAAGGGAATGACCTCTGTAACTTAGTGCCCTTTGAGGAGCCATCTTGAAATTTCAGACCTTCCTCCCACTTCTTGTTCTCCTTCTATTACCTGTTTTACCACTTTCTTTTAAGAGCTCCCCTTGTCCCAGTACTTTATAACAAAACACAAAAGGCGGTCAGTAAATGGGTCAGCATTACTTTCACAGTAATAACTGCTGAATTCGGTCTTGAAATCACTCTGTAGCCCCCAAACCAATATTGTATTCAGTGAGGACAGACTTAATGATCTTTTTATGGCCTGTCCAGCTATACCCCTCACTGGCTAGCTGACCTAGGCCTCTCTTGCATGAGCTAATAGGGAGATTACATAAAATGGGACCTCAGCAGCACTGATCAAGCAGAGAGATACCCCTGCAAGAGACTCATCTTCTAGATGCCCACAGCTGTTGAGCAGCAGTCCCACTTTGGCAGTCTGAAGCTGAGCCAAGCATATTCCTTTAAATGATCCCATCAGCATTAAAGCTGTATTGAAGCCCAGTTTAGAAGAAACGTTCACGGTTCCAATGATTAAACTATCTAACTAAAATATGTGTCAGGGACTCTGTTCTGGTGTTTTTGGTTGCTTCATTTTATGACTCACCAGTTAACCACAAAGCTATTTCAAACTTGTACGTTCATCTTGGAAATCATATTTAAAACTTTTGTGTTTTGTGTAGCCACAGTAAACCGCTTGAGGAACTCGGCCAGATAAAACACTTAGTCAGTGAACAAAATGACTAAGCACGAATGGGAGAAAATAGAGAAATCAGGTTCAGACATGCCTTAGCTTTCTGATGCAGAGAAAAACCGAAATGACTTGTGCTCATGTCTTGCGTCAGATGAGTAACTTGTCCAATGGGGAGCCCCATCACACCCTCGACACAAACAGATATCTTACCTGATCTAGGCCTCCCCCAGCCCTCCGCAGATTCTGAAGTTTGTAAGTAGCCAGTGCTGTCCCACTATCCTGGCAGCACAGGTCAAGGACCACACAGCCATCATCTTCAAAGGCATTGATTTGATGGAAGGTAGCAAAGGGCTTACTATACCACTGCCCTGGCAGCACCTACAGTAATAAAAGAGAAAGACTCACTTGCTCTTTCAAAAGGTCCTAGCTCATCTCAAAAGAGTTTCTCACACATATTTCATTCTCCCCCTCACTGCTTTGCATTTGTCTTCCCCCTTTGAGTCCCTTCACAAAGGCTATTTTAAGACAATAAATCACATAAAGACAAGTCAAGATATAAACAAGCACAAAATAGACGCCACTGAGTCATGACTTGGTCCCTAAAGCATCATTCCCACGCTTTTTTTTTGACAGTAGCCTTTGAGAACTGCATTTCAGACACTGTGCTGCAATTCCAGGAGCCTAAAACCACTTAGCACTATCTATTCTTCCAGGGTTGACAAAGATTAAACAACAGAGCAGAAAAATGCATGAAGTCATGCCATTTGCAATAAGCTTATACTCATCTTCATAAAAGATCTATTGCAATAGATGCTGCATTGATTCATGTAGCCATCTGTGGCACTCTTCTTCTGGGATCTAAATTCCCAGCTACAGTTGCACAGCTGCTGGAAAGACCAAGATCCACCTACCTCCCCTGTGTGTTTATTCACCACATGGAAGAAGGTGTTGTACTGAGGCTCCCAGCTTATTCCTTCGGAAATGGGCTTCCCACGGAGCTTGGAAGTGATAATCTGCAGGAGATTCAGCTTAATCGGTTGCTCAACAAAGATGATGTAGTTTTTGCTCATTCCTGAAAAGGTAGGGAAGGAGATGTTGGAGTATTAGGCAAATACAACAATACAAAAAAACTGAGGGCAGAGAGTAGTGAACAGCCCTTTCTGCCTCAAAGTAGGCTAACTCCAAAAAGTATGAGAAAGGAAGTGTTCTTACCAAAGCTGTGATAGTAGGAGGGTTTCATCTTATCCATTGGAGCAATGGAGCACAGCACTTTTGCTCCCTGTAACATGTCACTGCAGTTTGACTTTTGTGGAGGGATCTGAATGATATTATACTTCGACCCTGGAAAGAAGAAAATACGTTCATTGCCACTGAGTTGCAAGACTATAAACATTCATGAAACTAAAGTCAGTCTGTTTTTTTCTGTTTCTCTAGCAGACTAGGAAGCACAGTCATGAGTGTACAGTCCAGGAAACAGGTTGGTTATCAAGTCATTATAAAATCCACAAAGGATGAGCGGGAGACACACACGTGCATGCACACACACACACACACTGCAGTGCATTCATTGTGTATATTTTGAGTATCTCATATATAACAGGACTAGGAAGAAAACCAAATTACCAAATTCCTGGCTTGCGTTTCAAAGGAAATGAGAACTCTAAGCCTAGCGAAGACTGATACTCTTCTACTAACCCTGAACATATGGGCAGGGATGAATGGCACGTTTGAATAATAGTTTATCATTTAGTCTCTCCAACTGAAAAGGCCACGTGCTGTAAAGGAAAATAACACTAAAGCCAAAAGGAAATGAAAACAGCAAGAACAGAAAAAAAATATATCATAAGTGGGCAACTGTTCAGTGAACTAGAACAGCCTGAGGTACAAAGGGGAATGACTGTTTTCACAGACCTCGGGGCACCCAGAAGAGAGGCTTTTCATCTAATGAGAGTCAACAGTAGTTGTCAGCAACCATATGTCTATAACTGGTTCAGATCTAGCAGTAATCTGCACAGTTTGGGAAAGAAGATATTCCACAAAATTCTGCTTTACTGCAAGATAGTTGATTTACTGTGGTATCTGGCACTTCTCTCCTATATAACCATTAATTTTTCTTATCAGAAGATAGTATTGATGACAAGCTTGTAGCCAATGTCAGAATTCAGTGCTGGATTAGGACTTCTTTAGAAATGATTCTTTTCTGTTGAAGCTTGGAGGAGAAGGGAGGGAACCCACTGACCATTCTGAGGCCAAATTACTCAGAAGTATGAGGTGTGAAATAACCCTAGACGCAGAGGAAGTCAAAAGCACCAGAACTAATGGAGAGAAGCTATTTTATGGGGTAGACTGATACTCTGACATAAGAGTTTTTGTCATCATTTTGTCACCATTTTGTCATCATGACTTGGTTGCCATTTAGGTTTAGAGAATTTCAAAGTTTCTGGAAATTCTGAATACTGGAATTCCTTCAAGAATTGCCCCTTGAAGCAGCATGAGGTATCCTGTCCAGTCTGCCCACAGGCTAGGCCTAGCCATGCCCAGTCTTACCATGTTTCCCGTAGGAATTGCCCATGTTGTATGCTGTCCCATCTGACTCATAATGTGGATGAGCAGTGGCCCCATTCACTGCAACAAATTTGCTCCAGTCCACCTGCAAATTACCGAAAGATGGAATGGGAATACAGATCTAAACGTCAGTGATACTAGTAATATTTTCCTGTGCACACTTACTTCTCACATACAGGCAGCTGCAGGCAAGTCCAGACAAGTAGCAAGTGCATTGGAAGAATGCCAGCTTTACTCAAACTGAGTATATTCATCTCTCTCCTTGCCTGCTATTAACAGACCGTGACTGCATCTTCATTTGCGAGAGCTGCCTTAGTGCTAAGGAGATTTTTCAGGTACTCAAGCCCACCACAAATTCCTGCACTGATCATTTCTTCCAGAACCCATGCTTCTCCCTCACCTCACAATTTACTGAGGTACTCCCCTTAGCAAGGGCAGGGAGTCATCTCCTGTACCATAAACCCCGTTAATGCCACCCATCTTCACCTTCTCCTTTGTTTCAAGCGTTTCAGGGTCGACTTTGTGCATGAAAATATTCTCATTGCTGACATAATAGTCTCCTTTATACGTAACGTAATTCACATTGGCATTGTCGCTTGGCTCTGAAACAAAATACGAGAGTTGCACACAGCTTTGTTTAAGCTCGGGTCACATTACAACAAGTTAGACATGTTTAAACAAATAAACCCATTTACAATGACACTAATCCCTCCATGCTCGATTAGAAATATCTCACTAATCTACAAAGACACTCAGGAAACTGTCTGCACAGGTGAGTCAGGGATAAAAGCAAAAGGGCTTGTTGTAGCTGCACATCTTTCTCAGCTCAATGTGGCTTTTTTTTTTTGGGCGGGGGGGGGTGCTAAAGGAAGATATTATAAACCTGGAACTTTGAACTAAAGGAGGCAATTGCTGGATACGGCTAACTATCTTTTGCCAAAAGATCAGACAATGCTGCCAGTAATAACAATAAAAACAAAAGAGCATGGTTTCAGCAGCAGCTGATGAGGCAGGTCACTGCCTCATCAACCTGACCCTGTGATAGGGCAAAATAATTTAAAGATCATACAAGCATTGATTAAACTGCACAAAAGTGCAAAGCTTTCTGAATTGGCCTAACTATTTCTTCAGTAATGGGAGGCTTTTCTACCCCAGAGAGGTGATCTCTTTGTAACTGGTTGCACTCAGTCATTGAAGCATGTAGAGGCCAGACTCAGCTGCTATTTGAGGTCTTTGCGTGCTCCAGATCACTTCAGTTGCAGTGTCGTCTGGGTGCCAAACCCCACAATACAAAAGGCAGTCTAGTTTTAAGTAGTTCAGTGGCTGTTTAATGTGTATGCTAAAGCTTGGTCAGAGTTGCTGGTTAGCTCAAAAGCCAACATCCACGAGTCATCCACACAACTCGTCCTAAAAATGAGATTTTTAGTATTGCTTCTTACCAGATCTGGAAACGTTGTGCAAAGCTCAAACTGGGCCCAAACGATAACCGAGTTGTTGACTTTTATACGTTTGGCAAAGACATACTTGGGCGTATCTTTCATGTCTGTTCTGATTTTAGTGCAAGATACTTTGCCTCAAATTAAGCCCATTTCCTACCTGATGTATACTGCATCCTGCAGGTAATAATGCTTCCATTCCTGTGCAATATTCTCTGTCACCTTACTCATACCACATCCTGCACCTTAGTACAGGAAGAAAGGATTAGCCCACTTAACCTACAAGCTTAGAAAGGCAAGGTGTTTTAAGGGCAAGACTGTGTCTCAGGGAGAATAACAGACTGTAATGCTCATTACCAGGACTGTACAGGGTGTTCTCTGAGGAAAGATTTCTGTTGGCAGTTTATAACTCGCTGTGGAATCAAGTGAACCGAATGCGCCTGCAAACCAAATATTTGCGTCAGGGTTTTCAGAGGGATAAGTGTCAAGTGGATTTGGTCATCAAGATCTCCCAAGCATCTTCTGGCACTGAGCGGACCACTGACCTGTCTGCAAGTCATCCCCATACACAAACATTTTTTCCAAGGCAGAAACCACATATCTGATTTAGGATTAAAACATTAAGTGGTACTAACCCCTCTGCAACAGATTTTGACACTAACTTGGTAGTGTTTTTGTTCATGTTGCTCCAAGCGATGGTCTTCTAAGGAAAACCATGGGCTCAGAGTCGGTCTACAAGACTTCCCCACAGCTCCCCTCAGACCTAGCCACAAGTTCCCCAAGAAAATTGCAAAACATTACTTATTGCTTAAAAACCCTCTTACGTGGTATCTCAAAGCGTGACAAGAAGCGCCCAAAGACACTCTTGCAGGGGTCTGGCATTGCCAGCGTCCCAAATTCTGAGGCCACAATGCGGTTGTTCTGGCTGTTCGTCAGGTAGGAGCTGCTCTGCAGGAACTTGCTCCTGTATGTCACTGTGCCATTCTCCAACTGGAACTGATGCAGCAGGGCCATGCCATCAAACCAGTGGTTGAATCTTCAGGCAGAGAAAAATAAAAGAACAAGAGCTGGGTATGGCATTCTGTCCTGCAACATGTTCCCTCTTCCCTTGGGGTTTGTTGTTGTTTGTGACAAGCTAACTCGCAGGTCCCCTGTGCACTAACGTACATAGCCTTGTAATGAGCCTAAGAAGGCATGTAAATTGAGTGAAATGAGTCAAATACCTCTACATTTGCAAGGCCGGAGCTTGAGGTTAGGCATCGACTTTCAGTAAGAACCAGACTACCTGTATTATTTTTAAAGTAAAACTTAAGGACTGTTGAGAATGCTATGCATGAGCTTTGGAGGATAGTAATCTACACTGCTAAACTAATCATTCCACCGATTTCATCACCAGGAACAGAAATTGTGCTTTACTGCACCAAAAGTAGAGAAGCTACTACCAAAAGCCCAACTGCATAGACAGAACTACAAACTCTCAGCTACTTGAAGGATGTCATTCTCCCCAAAAGTGGAATAAAAACAAAGATTTGAGGAAAAATCTTAAGTTCTACCTATGAAAATATGTTAAAATGACAACCTTTAGCCAGTTGCTGCCATCTGCTTTGCAGAAAGATATAGGTTTGGCAGTTTGGCAGATCCCAGCCAGAGGCACTGGCTGCTTTCTTAAAATATTAATTGCATGATTTTTAAAACAAGATAGATTTGATTTAATGTTGATTTAATAATTTTTCTTTAACATCTTTATTTTTAAGCCAACTCCATAAATGGACTTTCACTAAAGGTACAGGACTAGAAATCTCTATGCTCTGTCGCCTCACAAGGCTGCAGTCTCTCCATGACTCAAGGCTCCAGCCTTAACAGTTAAACACGTTCCTGTTCTCAGAGCACCAACTGAGAGTTTCTACATGAGAAAGCAGCTGTTCTTGAAAGAGGGGTAACATTTCCTCCTCACCCAACTTAAAAAGAAGTCACAAGATGCTCTAAACAGCTCTAAGCCTTTTTTTTTTTTTTTTTTTGGGCGGGGGGCATGGGGGGAGGGCGGGCAGATTTAGCCAGTGCTCAGACCAGAATCACATGACAGACCCACCAACCTGCACTTACTTCTCCTCACCAAACTCAAATTTTCCAGGCCCATTTCTCAGAAGATTGCCATTAATCCATTTGGGAATATGTCCTTTGATTTTTGTTGGGATGGGCTGAGGAGTCTCTTCTACTGTTTGCATTAAGGGTGAGATACATTGCAAGCGTCTGTGGCTGTGGAAGGTGATTTGCTCCTTTGCTGGTCTTGATGGGGAAGTCTTTAGATCTGCAAAGACAGCAGCAAAAAAGCACCTTCACTGGAAGCAATTTTCCCCAGAATGAACAGAATTGCTAGAGCTCAAGCTTAGATGCCCAAGACTGGCATTCAGAGGGCAGTCAAGCTATATCGGATCTATATTAACACTAAACTCAGCTCCCACAATACCTGTCATGTCAACAGGGAGCTGAAAATCCAGTGGATTTAACGGTACTGCAGTTAATCCATTAGAGACACCTGTTCTACATGCAAAAGGAGATACTAAGAGGTATGATGATAAGAAAGAAAAGAACTTTTCTTTTAACTAAAGGAAGCCTATGGTTAGAATTGATTGAAATAAGCAACTAACAAGAAGATGGGAATGTTTGTTATGAGAACCTGGAAAGTTACAGAATCATCTGTTGCAAACAGGAATGATGCACAGTAATGTTGACGAGGAGCCCTAAAATAATCTCCCAGCAACTCCTGACAACTGGTCCTCTAAGGAAGCAGACAGAAATGCCAGTCTGTGTTTCACAGAGCAAAGCCAGAAGCAGGAAGATTCAATTAAGTAGCTTGTATAACAGTGCAGGTTGCTTCTATACCACAGCAGTGCTGAAAGCAAGGTAGAGTTATGCATCCATCAGACAAAAAAAATATACACTCTAAATTCATCTTGGTATCACGGTTACGGATATATTAGAACCAGAGGAGCTGAATATGTTGGGGCATTTCCTAATTCTTACAATGTAACAAGGAGCTTTCAGATACAAAGCAGAGAGCAGAGCAAACAGGAATACAGCAAAAGATGTGGTGCTTATACAAAATACACTGTTGATGTTCTTACCTCCGCTGCAGTTAATTTTTTGCTTATGTATTTCTACTGTCCAGTCATTCATGTTTAATCTTTATAGCTATCCTCATCATAGATTCTGCCTTAGACCCAGACTTGCTCCCTCCCGCCTTTTTTCGTTTTTTTTTTGGGGGGAGGGGGTGATTTGCAGAACAAGAAAATTGATTTATGAAGCCCTTGATCACCAAGGCTTATGCAGTAAAGCTTACAGAGTAAAGGACAGATGGTGCAACACTGAGCAAGCTGAACACAGAAGACCAGGCCCTGTCCATTCCTTCAAGATCATGGAGCAGAGCAATTGAAGATATGGTTCATTTCAGCTCCACACCGTCAAAATGGATATAAGATTTTTTTTTTATGTTTATGTTCTGTTTTATGTTTCTGTTTATAGCCTCCAGCCTTTGCTGTGCCAGTTTAAATCTATTTCACAAGAAGCAATATTCAGCAATGTCAGACACCTGTGGCTATGACCTCACCTGAGCAGGGTTTAGCAAAGGTTTTCTGGAACAGGCTTGAAAACCCGTGTTGAAAAAAACTGTGCTATAAGGTTGAATACAGTAAGAACCAGCATTGTTTGTGGCTAAACCTAATGGGTTTTTTTGTTTGTTTTTTTGTTTGTTTGGTTTTTTTTTTTTAATACGAATCCTTTCATAGTAAAGAAGTTTCATAATGCTGGTGTCCCTTTTAATGGTTAGCTAAGATTCATGGTTTCCCGGTGTTGTTTAGGAGCAGAGGTAGATTGTGGCATTGGGTTTCTTCAAAGCATTAAGCTGTTTAAAAAAATAAAAGGAGAGAGAGAGACAAAATCCTCTGCTGAGCCAAAGAACCAGCTTCCCTGTCCATAGTGCAAAATATTTTCCAGGAAAGGATTAGCATATTCACTGAGAAGAACATCCTAGAGAAGTTCCAGTGCATACCTGCGGGTCCAGGCCAGCTGTAACTTATTACACAGCAAATGTTATAAATACAGCATTAAAGAACCAAAGTCTTATAGGAATCTGTAGTCCTGTTTCCTACCTACGCTGCACATGGAGAGCCCTGGCTAGTTGGCAGCACTTGAAATGCAGTTAGGTGGAAGTGCACAGGCTATTCAAAGGTGCACAGGATGGTTCTCAGATTGAGCTCACGCTTTAAGAGCAGGACAGAACACATGTAGCCCATTTTCCTAGTGAATATGGACTATAGAATTAAGGAAGCACAAAGTGAAGGGAACACCGTGTGCCAACAGCACAGCCTAAGTTACGGGCTCCAGGTGCGTGGCTTGCAAAGCCTTGTCAACACAGGGATTGTCTCAGCAATCAGTTCAGCTGCAAAGTGGGCTTACCTACAGGGGCTGTCACCTTCCTCCCAACATTAGCACCTCCTCAGCTCCCTAGGCTCCTTGGCACAGGTCAGAGGAGCTGTTCGGCTCCATTACTGCATCCTTATCGTAAGAGTGTTCTGCTCTGAACTCAACTGGAGTTGGCTAAGATGCACCAGTAATTAAAACACCAATAAACATGAAGACATTTAGGAGTAGGAAACCTATTGCTAAACATAGCATAGGCAAGACCAGACACTAAGGATATCTCAGATTAATATTGAACACCCTTCCAGGATGCAGGAATTTGTTCAGTCTACAACAATCACTTTCACCACGGCAGACACTTCCACTAGACTACCTTCTTTAATCCAGGTGATTAAGTGAAACTGCTGCACAGTTTGTCTGTGAGCCTCTGAAAGCATATATTCAAGTCTACAAAGAAGATCTTTTATCCCAGAGCAAGAGAGTACTTTAGAAATAATTATGTTGGCATACAGTATTTGTCTTAGCTTGCTTCTTTAGATCAGCCATAGACAGATGGAGTTCTGAGCAGACAGAAAAGTAAATTGCAAGATCCCTTCATTGTAGTTCTCCAGCTTGCCAATCCCCAAATCCTTCTTAGATCTCTAGTCAGCTAGATAAAGAATTCAGGCTGCAGGGCTAAAGCAATTAACCTGCAACTACCAACATCCTCTCCCTCTTAAAATTCAATTAAGTTCTAATTAAATCCCATATGAGGCACTCAATCTTATCCTTACATTATTGTCCCATAATAGTTCCTTAGACATAAATAAACAGGCTTTTCATATCAACTGATACCTGGCAGGCTTAGTGATTACTACCAGCATTTGGAGATATACTGCCTTAGTAGGCTGTGATAAAGCTTGTAAAGGTGTAAATATGCAGAGAAAAAAGAGATATATTTTTGCCTTCAAGTGGAAATAAGGATGGCATGACCAAGAAGGCAGTACAGGAGCTGGGGGTGGGGAAAACAAACCACACCTCCCTAACTTTGCTAAGAGCAGCATAACTACAAATAAGAATTTAGAGAAATAGTTCACAAAAGAGCCAAACGGAGAACTGGAAAGGACCTCTTGAGTCATCTACTAGCAGCTTCCTGTCCCAGAAAGCTGCATTTATGTGCGTGATGTTAAAACTTGGAGGGCTTCCTGGAACTTCTCTTTTCTTTGCGTGACTCTCATTGCTCAAATGAATAGAAAAATCCTTCTAACTTGCAGTTGGAATTTGTTCACAAGAGAGTTGATTGGCCTATTCTTGGGTCAGCACTGATTTTTGGCTTGCATAGTTCTCCCCCACTTGTGTTTACCCCATGCTGTATTTATAGTCAGCAATCATATCTCTTTCAAAGCAAGACAAGCCAAGCTTTTAGTCTTCTTTCACCTATGATAGGCTTTCCATTCCCTCAATAATCTTAATAATCTTTCTTGAAGTCTGATTTAATTAGAATTCACCTTTCTTGAACTTGGATAGCCACAGCTATTCAAAAGGTTTCAAGGCATTTCTGAGAAAGAGCAAAAGCAGGCTATGCACAACAAGAATACATTTGCTATTGCCTTGTTCTTATATCACACCACAGAAAGAAAGAAGTCAAAGCAGCATAGCAATATAATACGATATCTTTCCTGCTCATAAGTACTCACAGGTTGAACATCCTGACAATAGCACATTCAAAATACAGTCAAATCATGATACTCAGACCAGCCATAAGTTTTTAGAAATATGACCACCCATTCTAGGGGAGTTCTGAAAAGAAAAAAAAAAAAAAAAAAAAAAAGGCCATACAAGCAACTTTTACTTTAGTGAATTAAATGCAAAGAGATGCAGGACAAGAAACAGAAGGGGGAAAAGCTCACCTCCATAAAGCTTGCCAAAATACCAAAATATTTTTTTTTAAAAAAAAAGGATCTTTTAATTGCATGATATCAGCTACCTCATTATTGCAAATGACCTAGGCATTACGTAGCAATGAGAGGTTTCCTCAATGGTTATCTACAAAGCAAGACAGCATTTGAGAAAGCTTGGTGTATGTGTATGCAGAGTCAGACGAGTTCTCTGCAGAGATTTTATGCAACCTGACTTTTTTAAATCAGTCATTATTTATATAATGTAGAAGTGCGCGGACATGTACACAGCTCCACTGAGGTGTGATCAGTAGCAGCAAACAAGCCAGGTTAATAAGCATATAACAGATGAGAACAGATGCAAGGACCTAGTGCAGCTCACTCTTCCCTGTCACCACAGGAAAGACTTGTATTCATTCCAAAAAGACTAAATGCTGCAGGCCATGTGCGAGACAATACACTGCAAAATTAACACAAAGGAGTCACCAACTTGTGAGTCACCGTTGCTGCATTTGAAATAACCATACATACCAGAGTTGCACCATGCATTTCACCTCTGTTGAGAAAAAAAATAAAACTCCATCAGGTCCACACTCCAAATTTAGTCATAGTTTAGTACTAAAAACTGCAATAATTATCTGTGTCTACTCAGAAAATACACAAATATAATACAAACACTTCCTTTTTGAAGGCCTCTTTGTGGGTTAATATCATAAAGGAGTATGTATTATCTTAAAATCAGAACTCACCAAAAGAGAAAAGACTTCTTTTAAATGTTGAGCTACATGTAAATTGAAGTACTTGACCGCTAATGGTGAGCGACAGCTTTTTCTGTGTAAGAGGCAGAACTGTAGTTGCTCTGGCTGCGCTCCAGAGTAGAAGAATTCATGCAAGCAGCCACCTACAGCCTCTGCAGTCTCAGTGGTTTATTCACTGGTATATTCACTTGAGCATAATGCCTTAAAATCAGCACAAGTTTGCAATATATCTTGAAGATCTGGCATGCACCGAGATCTCATCTCTGGACTACAATTTCCATAGGACATGAAATGCTTAAAAATAATTTTAAGATCTCAACTTCCCTTGGCTCATCAGAGCAGAAGCAATACCAGCTGTAGTACTGCCGTTTCTCCTCAGGTCTTTTCTCACAATGGAAAACTATTACTACAGAATTACTGCAGTCTGGCACCTGTTTGAACAGAGATTAATTCTCTGCTCATGCACTGTTTCTAAGAGCCACACACCACAATTTCTCTGCCTGTCAACCTAGAGATATAATTACTTAGTAGCATTAATTACTTATATCCAGAAATAGAGCAACAGATAAGGATCTTTGAAAAGCTTTTTGTTCAAAAGAAGCTACTGTACATGCTTTGGGTACCGCAGCAATGAGTCAGACGTCAAATTGCATGTAGACTGTAAGCAGTAAAAATGGATGTGACAAAATAATATGAACAGCTTTTGGGAAGGGCCCAAAGCTATTTTCTAGACATGAAATTCATTTGATAAAGCAAACCCACACTGATTTTTGCCTGCACGTTCAAATCCAAGGTACACCACCAACATTTGTCTCCATTTCCAACTGCATAATCCAAGTGTTTGACTCAGAAGGACATCCACGACCGGATTTAATGGCAGACTTGGTAGACAAAAATGCTCATAGCAGGGATTCTTCAAGCAGGGAGAGTGAAGCAAGAGTTTTGGCTTCCCTGATCATTCACGAATGCAAGTTAACCATCCGGCTGAGCTGGGAACCCTCTGGTGCGAGCCAAGGGCCACTTCCCAGTCCCTGTAAATCATAGGTCAGAACAACAGGGCATCAAACCACATTTCCCTTCCTGTCAGCAAGGGCTGAGCAGTAACTGTTTTGGTAGTGGTTTTCTGCCACGCTGACGCTAACTTGCTCCCCAACCTTCAGCAGGGCTGGAGCCTTCAAGCTCACCTGAGTGTCCCACACTGACTTCTGAACAGAAGCTGTTGCACCTGCCCTGTGTCCACAGCAAAGCTGCCACGCTCGGCTCTTTAGTCCTTCTAGCTTGCTGGTTTCCCATTGCAAGTGATCCGCTTCCTTGCTAATGGGCAGAGGAACAGAAGAGGAAAGGGAGGCATGTCAAAGGGAGATGGGGTCTGCGGCTTCCCTCTCTTATAAAAAAAGTGAGCTGTACATTTTTTATATTAATTGATTCCCCATATCCAGCTCTAGAAGTTTATTCTGCACTTGGGTATTTTTGAGGACATGAAAAAAGTGTAATGAATTGTTCATTAAATTATGAATTACACAATCAAGTCCTTGAAATACTTATTCTAGAGACACTGTGAATGACTGGTGAGCTATCAAAATGCAGTCAAGGTCATAGAAAAGACATCAGATAGAGCAGATGTTTTTATTCAGACTTCTTTTTTCATTATCACTGTTCTCATTATTCAACTGGCTAAACAAATAATAGGCTGCGTAGGGGGTGTCTTTTATTTGTGATTCATTACTCCCACCTTTCAGTTAAATAGAAAAGATTCTAAACCAACCAACTTTTCCAACAAGACCACATTAAAAATCAGAGAAGATCTGCAATTTCCATTATGATATATAGAACAGGACAGGGAAATTTTAGACTGTTTATATCTATCAATCTAGAAACACAGCTCTTCAAATTCCTTTGCAGTTTAGCTTCAGAGGCAATCAAGGTATAACAACAAAGGTAGGATGTAAGAGAATTTAGTGAAGAATCCCAGCTTAAACAGGAACAGATTTTGCAGTCTGCTAGCAGAACAGAAATGTCGTACACTTACACACATAAGGCATTTTTCCCCCAACACTAGAGTACTTTATCACACCCTGAAATACTAATAGGTTATTTTACATAGCATTCACAAAGCTAGACATAGTATTTGTCCTTTAGTTTGTACTAAATAGCCCTATCTCTTAAAAATCTGTTTGCATCTCACAGCACTAGTTGGTGACACGGCTACTCTGCCATGCCTCCCACCAGCTTAGGAACAAACGTGGTTAAAAAGCAACCTGCTGGACTGTTCTGAGGTTTCTATCTGTGGATACACACTGGTGGCACAAGAAGGCAGGTTCAAGAGCCTTTGCGGTCCTTGGATGCTGCCAAAGCCATCCTTTGATTCTGGCGGCTAAGGGAAGAGACCGACAGAGATTTGGGTGAATTCAGTCCCAATCTTTAGTGCTTCCCCAGTTTGTGAGAGGAGGTCTCCACTCGATTAGAAAGAAAAAGCAGCAGATTAAGTTGTGCAATAGTGGAACAAATTGCTGAGCTGTGCAAGGATGAAATCCCCTGCGGTAGTTTCCCACTCGTACATTCAGATCAAAGCTCCAGTGATGTCGCCGCTCCAGACAATCCTGTCCCTCTCACAGCCCCCTTGCATGTCTCCCAGCAGGCTCTACACAGAGAAAACCTGCTGCCTACTGATATTCCAGCACTAAATCATCAGTATCTGCTCATAGTCTGAGGCAACCTGTGCAATGCACCTGTCTCTCTCGTTTACTTCTCTAATAAGCAACAGAATTTCAGACTTCTAACAAACACTTTGGTTTAATTCCTATTCTGTGATTATTAGAAACAAAATTGCTCCACCGACCTGTGCCAGCAGCAGTTCTTACAAGCAGGGAAGCAGAAAACCCCTTTCCAGGATGATCGCATAGAAGGATTCTATTGCTTATTCTTTGTTTATTCATTTTACCTGGAATTAATTGCATCAAGGAGCAGAGGAAATGCCACAAATTAGCAAGCAGGAGCCTGACAGCAGACAAAAGGTCTTTGGAAAACATGTTCCGCTGGGAAGAAGGCATCGGATCCGAGATGGCCTGGGGAAGGCACTGCGGCCAGGAAAGCAGTGCGCGGCGCGCACAGATGGAGCTGTCGGCGATTGCTCGCTGACGGCATCGCTTCAGAATAAGAGCCGGGAGTCCTGCTCTGCCACACAGGCCTTTCCTGAAGAGTCGCACACGGGGCATAGCAGTTGCATTGGACACAACGTTGAATAATTTGTGATGTTCACAATAATTTCCCCCCTACACTTGCAGGAAGCCAAGTATTTCTACTCAGACATGTTCAGGTGTTGATAGCAGATCAGGACTCAGCATGTCTTAAGCTTTTCCATCTCCAAAGTGTTTTTTTTTAAATGTTAACCCAGATTTTTTCTATCTGTTCATCCTTAGAGATTAAGCATCTGAAGCAGTGAGTCGGTTAAAGTGTACATTGCTAAATGTAGGTTTCACCTTTGCCAACCATCATGCCCTGCCCCTGGGTTTTTTGATTTTTAGCTTGTTTTCAGATCAGCCCTTCAGTTTATTGAGGTTTCCTTGAATAGATAATTAGGCTGTTCAAAAACAAAACCAAAATGTTCTAAGATCAGCAAGACCGAATTCCACCATGTCCGAGAATGACTTTCGTCAGGCTCAAATACGTATGTTACCTAAATATTCCAGCTGTTCTTTTCATGCTAACACCCATATTTTTCCATATTTGCTAAGGGACAGTTTATTTCAAATAAACAGTCCCCATTAACCTTTTGGTTAAAGTACCTCAGCTTTCTCTGCATCATCTGTTATTCTGCATATTTCAGTTTTGTACAATGCATGGAAAGCGAGAGGAAGTTTGTCATCATTTGCATTTTCAGAACTATAGAGGCACTCACAGCAAACTCAATAATACAAGCGATTCACTGCCAAAAATCCCCTAGACCTCAGGAACATCAGAACTTTGTCTTGGAGATGGTTTTGTTATTTTTTGAAGTCCATTTATACTCTGTTACTGATCTGTGGTCTTAGCTTTCTTGTTAATTTACTAAAGCGCTGCAGCTTAAACAACAAGAGGGAGAAGCTTAAAGGAGACGTAGTTACCAGCTGAGCTTTACTGATCAGATTTGGCAGCTTTAAGGCCACTTAATTTTCAGTTCAAACCTCCCTCATTAAAACTGGAAAGGGGATAGTGGTGGGATAAGTGCCACTTGGATTCCATGGGTAGCTCATTTCCTGACAGAATGAAAGAGCTTTTAGGTTCCTTTCAGATGACGAGAGTAAACAACTTTGTTTTGCTTCTCCCAAGAAATACTGCAATACATAAGAGACGTAAGCAAGACACAACCATCCTTATTGATCCAGATAAATAGGAAAACAGCAAAAACGTATTTGAAATGGTCTAGAAGAAAACCAATGCATACTAAGTGTTCCCATCTCTATCTATGTATATCATGATGAAGTTCACATATAAAGAAAGATCCCAATTCATAAGAAATCACTGCAGAATAACAGGTGAGATCTTTTAAAGAGCTTCAGCTTGGCTTTAAATGCCAGACAAAGCAAGTCTTCATTCTTCTAAGAATTATTGTTCTATTAAAATTTATTAGATTTTATGATTGCTTTTCTTGCATAGAGCAAACTACAGCACTAGTAACAGGGGCTTGTGCTGTCTCAGTCCCCAAATGGAAGAAATTTGGACTGTGTGATCCATAGGTAGTTCGAATTCTAGGTTCTGCTTTTGAGCAATGCTTAATCCTACAGCCAGTGTTTTGCAGCTGGGATATATTAGTCACATAAATCTAGATGAGCTAAATCTAGATGACCTAAAGAGCTGCATAATTTTGCTAAGCATGAGCAGATATAAAGAGGCAAATCCCTTTCGAGTTTGGGAAAACAGGTGGATATTTAACACTAATGAAAGCCATGTTGTTTTTTTTTATTAAAATGCTTATATAAATAACTATAGGTAAGTTGCATGGATTTTAAAATCTGTATATGATGATTCTGACTTCTACTTTTTCTGATCACTATAAATGACCATAGCATATTATTCTAGAAACTGTGCAATATTCTAGAAAATGTATCTTCCAAAATCTTTTCTTACTCACACACTTTAATGGCATTTTCAAGACTGATTACCAAAGCAGATATAATTACTAGGAACAAGTAAAATCTGTACAATATGATTTAGACTGCTGACCAGATATTTAAAGGTCTTTAGATGCTAAAGATGCAGATAGGCATCTTACGGGATTTTCAAAACTTCCTAAGCATGTAAGGTGCTTACATGCTTAAAGAACTTTGAAAATCCTACTAAGTACAAGTCTGCATCTTTAGATACCTAAATACCCTGGAAAATCTCACCCTAGATGTCAAGTTTTTCTAATTATTTGTTTTAAATAGTACCAGTTTGATTGGTGTGACTTTTATCTGCTAACCAGGAAAGGTAGGATTGATTAAGTCTGAAAAGATGTAAAGAGAAAAGTAATTCCCAATACTGGGTCAGAGACAAAAATGTTGCTTATGCTAGCAGCAGGACTGCCTAGCGCTTTATTACAGTAATCTGACAATTTGTACAAATAAAGCTTTCTATATTTTATATTTCATCTTTTTAACACAGTCAAGCGACAAAAAAGAAAATCTGAGTGAAGAACTCCATAACATCATTAAACAAACTGTGTATTCAGCAAACAGTACTGATATATAAAAATGATGTAGCAAAACAGCACAGTAATATTCTAACTAGTGTTAACCTGGTCATTTCTTGACATTACCAGCAACGTTTTTAATACGCACTTTTATGATTATATAAAAATTGCCTTAATGTTATTAGAAAAACTATACAAGTATGAAATTTTATTTTCAAAATAAGACTTTATATCTCTTTGTACATTTCCCAAAGTAATATTCTTGATAGAACTCTCTTATTTCTAAACTCTTCAGTCTGATCTCTTCAGGCTATTTATGTTCTGAGACAAAAATGGAAATAAGATTCCAAGTGTATTCTACTAGAATTTTAGCACCAAAATATTTTCTAGAGTAGGAAAAATAATGGAAAATGGTTAATACAAAATAATCAGAAGTCTTCACTTAGTTAGCCATTTCTTATATTTCATGTAAGTGTTTTTATATTTTTATAAGGAGAAGGTTTGGTTGTAAAAGTAGAAAAAACAAACAAACAAAACACCCTCCTTGTATTCACATTAGAAATACCATGACTGCTTCTGAATTCAGATGTATTGTACTTCCAAAACCTTGAATGCTAAATTGCTATTACTTTCTTTTTAATTGCTTGCAGTATTTTCTATGGATGGAAGCATACATACAGCCCAAGCAGTGAGTCGAAAAGTAAGAAAAGATGATTTGAAGTATAAAATCGCATGCAATCGCAGGATTTAAGACGGAAATTTAGTATTTTTTGTTACTAGCACTACCCTATTTTTTATATTTATTTATTTATTTCAAAAGCAGACTGGTACTTATGTTGTAGACAGTTTCTTGAAGTGCTAGAAATATTTAAAGAAGTTATTTATTGTAGCATTTATTGTAGTTTATATTACAGTACATAAAATGTATGTACAACAGTTTTGCTGCACAGTTTTATATGTACAACAGATTTCGATCTAACAAACTCCATTTAGCTTTGCAGAGTATTTGTGATCACTGTGAATCTCTGCTTCAAACTCTCCCTTTTCTGTAGCAAGTGGTTTTCTATGGCTTTCGCCTCTCTCAAGATTTCATCAAGCTCCTGGACATAAGAAGCATCCATCGCTGCTCGGTCACTTAATTGAAAAAAGTCTGAAGTTAAAATCAGTACCAAAGCCATTAACTTTTTCACTACTTCTTAGAACTGCTTTGATGCTCTACCTCGAAATGTGTTCTCTGTAAAAACACGGTTTATGGAGAAAGCAGTGCTATGTTGCAACAGAAAACAAAGGAGGTTTTTTTTCAAGGTCTATGAGAGTTTTCAGTGCCAGTTTCTTCAGACATCAGCTACAGTAACCTATCTTATTTAGAAAAGTGCTGTACAAATAGTGCAAAGTTAACTTGCCTTAAAATCTGGGCATATTTTGATAGCAAGTTCTTAATTTCTTTGTTCATCTCTGTTAACAACAACAAAAAAAAGGCATTTTATTGAAGAGTTTGAATGATTCGGTGATTCTCAACATTCAATTATTCAAATAATGTAGCAGTTACTCTGAAGTGTATTTAATACATCACCATTTAAAACCTTTTCCAGAGGTTCAGATTTGTAAAGGGACTGCGAGCCCTCAGAAAATTCCAGATCTGATGTTTCAAGGGAGGACAACTGTGGATTTTCTAAAGCTTCACTCTAATGGAGTAACAAAACACATAAGAAAACACAGGCTTGAGGACTTAAAACACTCTTAGCACAGACAGACCTCAAGTACATATTTTTAAAAGGATCTAGAGTGTTTAACAATTCTATGATTCAGAGAAAGCGCAAGTATTGTTGGCTCCACAGATTCAACATTCTCCATCCCAAGCAGGCACAACACCTGTGTGGTAGGTGAGTGTGAGGGAAATAACCAGTTTGAGACTTTTGCTCGTAAGAGCTGCTGTAATTCAGTCCCTTGCTCTCAAGAAGCCCTACATAACTGTGTTGCAGAGCATGCCCAATTATCTAAACAGAAATAATGCAATCCTCATCTGAGAAAAGCCACACAAGCCTGTTAGCCTCCACGAGCTGAGCTACAGCCCCGAACCCTGTCTGTGCAGCACAGGGCTGGAGGTGCTGCCTGCCTGCCCCGGGCCTCAGGCTGGGTGCAGGCCTTCCCCGCTCCTTGCACAAAGCTGCTCACCTCGGCCTCTTTTTTACGTTTGCTTCTGCTCTCATCCGATTTTTGTGCGTTGCTTGTCATTGTTACCTGATAAAAAGTACAACGCTGTGTTTAATGACTGGCTTTCCCGTGTGACTAAAAAAATAAGCTACGTGAGCGGCTGCACAGCGACCCACGGGTGAAGCAACGAGGGCCCCGCGGCCCCGAGGGAGC